CAGTTGGCCGCTTTTGATTTTCTTGACTGCCGCGAACCATTCCCGGCGACTGTTCCGCTCTTGACTTTTAGGTGCTTGCGTTGTCATTTTTCTTTCAATTTCACACACAATCCATCAATAAAAATCTTTATTGACAATGTGGACCAGCGCCGATATTTGAGGGAGGAGCCTCATTCTTCTAATTGATTACATCTCGACATTGACCGGTGACCAATTCCGTGTCTGGCGACCAAGTCTCGGGTTTGCTCCGTGACATCTTGACCGAAAATCAAGACCAAATTGATTTTTCTTTTCCGCCACTTTGGGCTCAATTTGATCATCAATTGATCAATGATTGCACCTCGACTTTTTTTGTCAGGCCTCTCTGCCTGTCCTTGGGGGAGTCTTTTGGGTCTCTCGCTTTCAAGTCGTTGCCGCTTTTCCCTCCCGAGCCGTTGCAGTTCTCGTTCTTGTCCTTCCTCCGGCGACTTCTTCTTTGTCGATTTTTTATCTTTGCGCAGCAGCGTCTGCGTGTCGGCATGACGGCGCAAAATATTTTTTTTAATCAACTTCTTCTTATCTTGGTACTCTCACCTCACCCGGCCGCACTCTTGAGGAAACGCGCTTGTCGCAGTTGCGGCCGCGATCGTTTTGTGTTCTTATTATGGCCGAAAGAAATGCTTGCAATGATGAATTTGACCACTAATCAGCGACCGAATTCATCCACCATCATGATTGTATTTATTTATTTTTAAGGAGTCGCAACAAAGAAATTTTCCCGTCTACAATTTTTGGTCTCCAAACAATGACTTGATGATCACAATCATTATCGATGCATTTGATAATTCATTAGTTGCTTTTTCCTCATCACTATTTTGTTATGGAATGTTTATACAACACAACACAATACACCTTTTATTTATATAGCGCTTTCACAAGAGCTCCAGCTGTAACAAAGCGCGTTACAAAAAGCGCAGGTGCTCCGAATAGTTGCACGTTCCCCAAATATGTGTTGAAATGGGTGTTCCTCAAGGCTCACACCTTAGCCCCATGTCTTTTTTGTTTGCCATACAACCTGTCTTGTCAGATGTGATGGCAAATTTAACTCATTTTGTATTACAACTCAAAACACTTATTATAATTGTCTTGTTGATGCCGCATCATCAGGAGGCAAATGAGGTCAATGGCGTGCAGCGCTGCGAGGGACCCCGAGGTAGAAAAGCGCTGGATCATTTTCGTGGCATTGGACGATGTTTTGATGCAAGCGCCCAAAAATCGTCTTTATGATCGCGCCTGGGCTGGTGTACCTCATCAAGTGTCCATGAAGAAGTTGAGAAAAATGAAGTGAGGGACTTCCTTTTTTGACATTTTTTTTTTAAAACGCCACCGCCCCACCCCCATCAACCTTCTTCCGCTCATGCAAAACACCAAGCGCCACGTCGTCGTCTTCAACTTAAGTCTTCAACGTCCAGCAGCGCAGGTCCAGCAGCCCTTTTCCAAACTCAAGACTTTGTTGTGATCGTCAGGATTTTGTAGTATCGACCGTTTGTGAGCGCAGATGGCGTCGGCGTGCCGCCGCCGGCACCCGCTGATGGCGCTGTTGGTCGTCATGGCGACGGCGGGGGCCGCCGCAATCGATCAGAACAGATTGGCCACGCTGGTCGACGAGATTCTCCGCAAGTACGTCGGACGAGAGAATTCCGCCGGATCTCGAAAGCGCGTCGTCTCGCTAATGCTCGTTGCTTTTCCGAACCCGCAGGTTCCGAGTGGAAAGGTGAGAACATCCGGTCCACCGCGGTGACGTCGTCGTCGTCATCCTCACGTGCCGTGCCGAGTGTGAAAGGGGCGAAACCAAAAGTAACTTTGCGCGTTTGCTGTGTTATAGCAAGATGCCCATGTTCAGTCTGGCGGTGAGCGTCCCGCCCGGCGCCGGCGCCGGCACTTACGACCTCGATCGAGTGCGGGACGAGCACGTGAGGAAGACCGTCCTGGGGTGCGAGGTCTACGCGGGCCACGACGTGGTGGCCGCCATCCGCCTGCGCTGGCCCGACGTGGCCTGGCATTGCCCCAGGGCGCAGGTGCCGTGGGAGGACGTTCTCCGAGCGTGCGGGCGCAAGCCCATGATGACCTGGCGCGAAGTGGCCACCTTCTGCCCCGGCGCCGTGCAAGACGGCCGGACGGACCACGCCGAATACCGGGTCCTCCTGAAGTTCGCCGACTGGGCTGCGCATAAGGAGGACAAGTCGGGTCTCCTGGTGCTGTACGTCTACGCGGCGCCCTGCGAGGCGCGCTGCGCTAGCCAAAACAACGCGGCCAGCATCCTCAAGCTGTTGGAGGCCATCCGGGGCTGGAAGGACTACGTGGTGGTCTTCTCCAAGCTGCTGACTGTCAAAACGTTGAGGGAGGGCACCTCCATACCCGCCGAAAGGCTGACCAAAGCCCTGCGCAACCTGGGCAGACATTTGGGACCAGACGGCCTGGCAAAGATCTTTCGCTGCGACCGGCCGGACGACGACGACAACGGCGCCATGACCTGCACCAGCTGCTCCACCGGGGGCCAGGTCACGCCTCACTGCTACCGGAAGGAAGGCGACTCAGAGGAAGGGAACCAGCGGGGTGGGGCGCCGGCAGTGGGCGGGGCACCCGGGTCCGCCGAAGCGGGACCGGGCGGGCCACAAGGAGCGAGTGGGGCGGTAGGACGGGGTCAAGGGGGCGCACGAGGAACAGGAGGGGCACACGGAGAGTGGCAAACAGTGGGGCAGAGAAGAAGGCGGCCAGGTGGAGGGGCACAAGGAGGAAGACGAGGGCGGGGCCAAGGTGGCGATGTAGCTTTCCAAGGGGGACAAACAGGAAGTGGGCCAAGACGAGGGGGACAAGGTGGCGGTGGGGCAGTACGAGGGCGACAAACAGGAAGTGGGCCAGCACAAGGGGGACAAGGTGGCGGTGGGGCAGTACGAGGGGGGCAAACAGGAAGTGAGGCGAGGCGAGGGGGCCAAACAGGAAGTGAGGCGAGACGAGGGCGACAAACAGGAAGTGGGCCAAGACGAGGGGGACAAGGTGGCGGTGGGGCAGTACGAGGGCGACAAACAGGAAGTGGGCCAGCACAAGGGGGACAAGGTGGCGGTGGGGCAGTACGAGGGCGACAAACAGGAAGTGGGCCAGCACAAGGGGGACAAGGTGGCGGTGGGGCAGTACGAGGGCGACAAACAGGAAGTGGGCCAGCACAAGGGGGACAAGGTGGCGGTGGGGCAGTACGAGGGCGACAAACAGGAAGTGGGCCAGCACAAGGGGGACAAGGTGGCGGTGGGGCAGTACGAGGGCGACAAACAGGAAGTGGGCCAGCACAAGGGGGACAAGGTGGCGGTGGGGCAGTACGAGGGGGGCAAACAGGAAGTGAGGCGAGGCGAGGGGGCCAAACAGGAAGTGAGGCGAGACGAGGGCGACAAACAGGAAGTGGGCCAAGACGAGGGGGACGAAGGCGGGGGTAAGGTGGATATGGGGCAGTATGAGGCAGACAAACAGGAAGTGGGCTAGTATGAGGGAGGCAAGCAGGAGATCAGGCAGCACAGGAGGGGCGGGGGGGTTGAGGTTGTAGATGGCAACAACTTTTTGTTCACCCTTCATAAATCTGCTTGCTAATGCCAGCACGCCAACGTGACAAATGCTTGAAAATGATGTAACAAAGAAAACAAAAAAAAAATAGAACCCGCTCAGCATTAAAGCTTTCAGCAATCAAGATTTGTCTTGCCTTTTGTTTTTGTATTCACATTTCAGCCATAAATATGCTCTGTGTGTAAAAGTCGTCGACCACCGAGCGCTTCGTTCAGTGTTTCGTTTAAGTCGGTCGTGCCGCAGAAGACGAACTCCAAGTCCCACAATGCCGTGCGGTTCTGACGTCGTCGTTGTCGTCACGCGTCGCACGGAGCTCCCGCGTTGTGGAGAAGGAAGCCAAGATGGCCGAGGCGGAGGCAAGCGGAAGCCCGCTGGGCGCGCTGCTTAGCGGCGTCGCTCAGGAAATCTTTTACCGAAACAGCGACGTGACGGAGGAGGTGTTGAGAAGCGAACTTTACCCCGAGGCCACACGGCAAGACTTCAAGGCTTTGTACGATAAAATGAAGGCGCTCCTGAAGGTCAGAAACACTTCCGGAGTCCGACCGTCTGCTCTTGTCCGGCTCAACGTTTGTGTCTCGATGATGTCCTAGTCGTCCCTGCGTCATCGTACGTAGTGATGATGTCATGAGGAAAGACGTGGAGTTGTCGTACATGTCATTGAAATGACCATCAAGGCATTGAGTATAGTAATCCCTCGTTTATCGCGGTTAATGGGGGACCAAAACCACCCGCGATAAACGAAAATCCGCGAAGTAAGGTACATGTACATGTGTACGAGTATAAAAAAATATTTATAAGGCCAAATTTAATGGTATACATGCGTGTAGAAGTAAATTTAGTCGTAATTAACATGACTTAATCCTGTATAAATTAGGTTAGTGTATTAATAGCAAAATACAGTAAACATACATGTAGTACTGTATATGTTGCTCTATGTGACTCGCTGTTGTTTTGCTGACTTTTGCTGCTTCTCGTAGACCCTTTGCAGACTTATTATTTATTTTTATTTTTTAATGAATACGTTTGAAACAATCCGCGATGCACCGAAGCCGCGATAAACGAAGCGCGAAATAGCGAGGGATCACTGTGCACCATTCGTGACGAGTAAGGACGTTGAGCATTAATGTCATGTTGGTGATTAGTATCAGTTGTGTCACATGAATTGACACCGTGAATGTTTTGCCCCCCCCCCCACCCCCGGGCCGCACCCC